TTTACTACTGAGTCATGGGGATATCACCATTAAATAGGTAGGCTATCTATCATATTGATGATATTTTCTCTACATAAGGATAAATTGTCTGTGAGAAAACATAATAGTTTCAATATGTTAGCATGCTACTGTATGGGCAAAGGAACAACCGCATGTGCAGTTATGTATTACAGTTCAATGGGTTCCCCTTATGACGCCATGCACTGCTCACAATTGGGGAGCATTTTCTGAAACTACTTTTAAAATATTCTGGGCTCTTCTATACAGAGAAAGTCTCCCAATGATTTTTTATTATGAATGACATTATGGGAAATCACCATGTACTCTCATTTTTTGTTAAAGTATTTTCAGGATTTCTTGGAGTCACTGTTTTATGACTTCCCTTGATGGTTGTTGGGCGTAATTTCATTCAGGCTTTTTGATGCTAGCAGATCATTTTTGTTTAACTGAATTATCGTAGTATGACTTTGAAGAAGTCATTTTGATACGCTAGCTTTTTAATCATCATTTTATAAGACTCTTTGCCCTCAGTGACCAGTGTACCATTCATTGCCGAAAAGTGAAATTGACATTGCTTCATTCTGTGGAGTCGGGAATCCTGTCTGTTTCTGTAATCTGCTGTTCTCCGACCAATCATCTGGAATTTCATCAAAATCAGAGCAATAATGTGTCTGACAAGTGCACTGCAATCTTTTCAGATTCACCTTCCTTTACAGAGAAGAAAAGAGCAATTTCTATGTCACATGAAATATAAAATTGAAAGCAGTTTATCAACCGTGATTTTATTAAAAATACTCAAAATTAACTGTGAGCTTAACTGTCATCACCATGAGAAAAGTTATCAAATGCTTAGAAAAAAATGTCGAAGCCTTATCCGTAAATTGTCTACTCTCCATGAGCTGCAGAGAATGAAATACACGTTGTGTGATGTCGACACGAAATGAATGCTTCCTTACACCCCAATCATGCCTTTTCAGTTTTGATTGTCTTATATTGCAGACAACATAAGACGTTAGAATCCAAAATTGCATTGAGATGATTTTCTATATTTTGGGGCCCAGACACTGTATTAATGACAATTTTCAATAAAGGCAATTTCACAGACATTACCCGAGACCTTTTCGTCATTGGTTGTGCAAATATTTGATTAATTTCACAAATCTATATGAGCTGAGAATGATTTCACTCACCGCAGATGTCTGTGTTTGTAAACCCGCCTGACCACATGTTTTGCCGAAATACTAAAGAGATAATGAATTATGGGAAATGGTGTGAATCGATACTGCAACGTGCAACACTGTCATAAGGAGGCCATGGCTTATTAAGGATAGATACATATATGTAATTGACTTAGAGCGTGAGGGATTCTAAGGAAGTGTGCACAGAAACATTGACGGAATTACTTCCATCGCGATGAGCGACCATGGTGAGTGTAGCATCCATGTGGAGACGCATTGTCGGGGAAACAATGTGTGATGAATGATTATGGCACAATGAAAATCTTAAGGGAAATTAGTACAACATATACTCCTTGAAAAAAGATAAGGACCTGATTCTTTCATATAACTGAAGTTAATCTGTCATGGTAAACAGATTAATTCCAGTACTATGACAGAATCAAGTTGTCCTTAACTTTTTTTGAGTAGTATATTTTTTAGAACCGTTATTTGTTTTGTTACTCATTGTAAATTATGTGTAATTGTTGGTGTTCGTTCCAAATTTCACATTTCTAAGATGCTCTGCACATCCACCTTTTTTAAAAAAAAACAGATTCAGTGATTGATTCTCTTACATGAACAGCTGATTTTATCTTGTTTGCAGTTGGTTTGAGGAATTGGTAAATTATGTTTTAGTGTGAAAATATTGGAAAACTTCAAATAGCTAAAATTGAAGCCTTGGCTTGATTCGATCAGTTATTAATTGAGGAAGTAAACAGTGCGTGCAATTTCGGTGCTGTTTGCAATTACTGGATGCTATTTGCCACAGACAAGCAGTTCCTGAAATATCTTGGATTTTTGTCCAACTGACTTTCAATGGTGCTGTTGGCACCCAAACAGATTAACGGCATATCTCCCAAAACAGACACCCTGTTTATCTAGCTACTCCTCTCAGACAGGACATCGCATACTTGCAGGTGCATGTGGATCGAATGATTATCAGGGAATCAGCAATATTCCGGCAATATCATGGCAGTTTGCATCGAGTCTGGGTTATGAAGACCAGTGGTTGATAGCATGAAGCTTATTTACACCTTGGGGTATGATGAAATCATGCGTTGTGACCACCCAATCCTTGTTAGTCAGCTGAGATATTTCATACCATTTGCATACTCATAATCAAATTCCATGGAAAAATAGGAGGTGAGGTGAGGTGAGGTGAGGTGAGGTGAAATGTTGTTTAACGTCACGTCCAAGATTATTGCACTTATATAGCGATGTGCATGCACGTGTGTGTGTGTGGCTGCTTGTACTAGTCCAGACTGATGCCGATTTATAGTGCTAGCCAACTGAGATACCATGCCGCAGTTTAACATGAATACCCTACTCAGACACAGTATACTGACTCCGAGCCGACCAGTCCTTGTTTTAGCCCCTTAATAATGTTAATGGCGAACGCCAGACAGGGTAACAACAAGTACCATCTTTTAATGTCTTTTGGTATTAAGCAGCCAGGGATCGAACCCCGGACCTTCTGCTCTCTGGGTGGACGCTCTACCACTAGACCACGGAGGCGGTCTGGAATAATAGGAATATTCCTGCCTAAAGTTGCCTGGTCAATGGTTTGATCCCCGGCCATGTGATACCAAAAGACGATAAAGGACTTGTTGTTACCCTTCCTGGCGCTCTGCATTAAGGACTAATACAAGGACTGGTCAGCTCGGAGTCAGTATACTGTGTCTGAGTTGGATATCCATGTTAAAACTGCGGCATGGTATCTTAGTGGGCTATGACTATGAAAATGGTGCATGCATGTATTAGTGCAATAATCTTGAACCCCATTTCACCTCACCTCACCGCATGGCATTGTTACCTTTTATCTCTCTTCTTCTGTTTGTGATGCAGGGTTTTCTATTATACCCTGCTAACCAATATTTGCAAAGAGTGTCTACAAATACAGAAGGGAGACAAAAAACCGTAATGCTGTTTGGATAATAAAAAATTATTCAAGAAAATGGAACCCCAAAAATAAATTCATCAGCTCATGAGATTTCAATTTTAATAAAATCAATTAATGCTTGTAAAATTTCAGAAAAATAAATTTGACACTTTACAAACTTTATGATCAATAGTTCTTTTGATCTTTTTGTACGATTCTAAAATAATATTTTGCAGTGAAATTCCTGTTTCAAGTTCGCTCACAAGATAAGTATAGTTCCACTGGGATAATATATTTCTTTCCTCTAATTTCCGTTCAGTTAGTCCAGAATGCCCTGTTCGTTCAGGAATTAGACAGCAGAGCAGCCAAGGGCCTTATTATGCCTGATAAAACGGGTGATTTGTTTTACTTTATTTGCAATTATGACTTTGCATCAACGCTCTGTTGGGCATTTGGGGTCTGTGAGGGTTTCCACTTGCTTAATTGACTGAAATGGAAATTGATCAGAGGGAACCTATGCATGTGTGGTTGCCATCATATTGGTCTCTGATGATAGTCGTCGGACAAATTATGATGCCGTTTGTTTTAGGTGTATGGCTGATTTTGTACTGCAGAGAATTCAAAGGAGTTCAGCTCTCTGACTTTGACCTCCTTTCAATAAGTTATTTGGTCCATTAAACCAAACAATTTGTGAGTGAGTATGGTTTCACGCCGCTTTTAGCAATATCACAGCAATATCATGGCGGGGGACACCAGAAATGGGCTTCACACATTGTAGGGGAATCGAACCCGGGTCTTCAGCGTGACGAGCGACGGCTTTAACCACTAGGCTACCCCACTGCAACCAACCAGTTTGTTTTTATACACATGTTAACTGATAATCAGGGACCATCTTGGAGATCAGTTATGAAAGTATACTATTTTGTTGAAATGTGCAGGTGTTGAGAGGGTTAATCTAAGGGTGGCTGTGTAGTCTAGTGGTTAAGCAGCTGCTCATCCAGCCCAACATGCTACAATGTGTGAAGACAAGTCATGGGGATTTGGTCGTCAACCTCATCGCTGGAGAGTCTCCAGAAGTTTTAGAAACTGGACTTTTTCACAAAATGTGGCCACACTTATGCACTTGATGTAGTTTAATGATGAAGCGTGACACTTCTTGTAGAGAAACTAAGTTATCACTCAAATGAAAACTTCCTTTAACTTTTAACTTTGACAAATTCTGTTGGGGAAAATGCTCATCACCCCACATGACAACAAAATCACACTTCGATCTATTCATTTTCACATGTCTCTGAGTGAGGGAGGTGCTCAACTCAGTTGCTCAATGCACACAAACTTCAAGTACAAGGATGTGTGTGACATCTGTAATGAATATTCATTAAAGACAGGGGCGGTGGGGTAGCCTGGTGGTTTAAGCGTTCGCTCGTCACGTCGAAGACCCGGGTTCAATTCCCGATTTGGGGACAATGTGTGAAGCCTGTTTCTTGTGTACCCCGCCGTGATATTGCTGGAATATTGCTAAAAGTGGTGTAAAACCATACTCACACACTCATTAAAGACAACATAAATTCCTGGTGAAATATATTTTTTATCTGCCACACACATATTAATGCTTCTTACAAATTCTGTTATTACAATAGTATTACTTTTCATTCGATGTTCCCCTTATCTGTTATTCATACATGAAATGCAAAATTATGAAACAGTAGGTCAATTTTCATATTTTTTTATCATTTTGAAATAACCCTGGTCTATCATGGCTATGTTTAAGATGAAAGATGACCATGGTCAACCATGGCTTGTCTGAGATGACCATGGTCTACCATGGCTTGTCTGAGATGACCATGGTCAACCATGGCTTGTCTGAGATGACCATGGTCTACCATGGTTTGTCTTAGATGACCATGGTCTACCATGGCTTGTCTGAGATGACCATGGTCAACCATGGTTTGTCTGAGATGACCATGGTCTACCATGGCTTGTCTGAGATGACCATGGTCAACCATGGCTTGTCTGAGATGACCATGGTCTACCATGGCTTGTCTGAGATGACCATGGTCTACCATGGTTTGTCTGAGATGACCATGGTCTACCATGGCTTGTCTGAGATGACCATGGTCAACCATGGTTTGTCTGAGATGACCATTGTCAACCATAGCTTGTCTGAGATGACCATGGTCAACCATGGCTTGTCTGAGATGACCATGGTCTACCATGGCTTGTCTGAGATGACCATGGTCTACCATGGCTTGTCTTAGATGACCATGGTCTACCATGGCTTGTCTTAGATGACCATTGTCAACCATGGCTTGTCTGAGATGACCATGGTCTACCATGGCTTGTCTGAGATGACCATTGTCAACCATGGCTTGTCTGAGATGACCATGGTCAACCATGGCTTGTCTGAGATGACCATGGTCTACCATGGCTTGTCTGAGATGACCATGGTCTACCATGGCTTGTCTGAGATGACCATGGTCTACCATGGCTTGTCTGAGATGACCATGGTCTACCATGGCTTGTCTGAGATGACCATGGTCTACCATGGCTTGTCTGAGATGACCATGGTCAACCATGGCTTGTCTGAGATGACCATGGTCAACCATGGCTTGTCTGAGATGACCATGGTCTACCATGGCTTGTCTGAGATGACCATTGTCAACCATGGTTTGTCTGAGATGACCATTGTCAACCATGGCTTGTCTGAGATGACCATGGTCTACCATGGCTTGTCTGAGATGACCATGGTCTACCATGGCTTGTCTGAGATGACCATGGTCTACCATGGTTTTTGTCTGAGATGACCATTGTCAACCATGGCTTGTCTGAGATGACCATGGTCAACCATGGCTTGTCTGAGATGACCATGGTCAACCATGGCTTGTCTGAGATGACCATGGTCAACCATGGCTTGTCTGAGATGACCATGGTCTACCATGGCTTGTCTGAGATGACCACGGTCTACCATGGCTTGTCTGAGATGACCATGGTCAACCATGGCTTGTCTGAGATGACCACGGTCTACCATGGTTTGTCTGAGATGACCATGATCTACCATGGCTTGTCTGAGATGACCACAGTCTACCATGGTTTGTCTGAGATGACCACGGTCTACCATGGCTTGTCTGAGATGACCATGGTCTACCATGGCTTGTCTGAGATGACCGTGGTCAACCATGGCTTGTCTGAGATGACCGTTGTCTACCATGGCTTGTCTGAGATGACCATGGTCTACCATGGCTTGTCTGAGATGACCATGGTCAACCATGGCTTGTCTGAGATGACCACGGTCTACCATGGCTTGTCTGAGATGACCATGGTCTACCATGGCTTGTCTGAGATGACCACGGTCTACCATGGTTTGTCTGAGATGACCACGGTCTACCATGGTTTGTCTGAGATGACCACGGTCTACCATGGTTTGTCTGAGATGACCATTGTCAACCATGGCTTGTCTGAGATGACCGTTGTCTACCATGGTTTGTCTGAGATGACCATGGTCAACCATGGCTTGTCTTAGATGACCGTTGTCTACCATGGCTTGTCTGAGATGACCATGGTCAACCATGGCTTGTCTGAGATGACCATGGTCTACCATGGCTTGTCTGAGATGACCATGGTCAACCATGGCTTGTCTTAGATGACCATGGTCTACCATGGCTTGTCTTAGATGACCATGGTCTACCATGGTTTGTCTGAGATGACCATTGTCAACCATGGCTTGTCTGAGATGACCATGGTCTACCATGGCTTGTCTGAGATGACCATGGTCAACCATAGCTTGTCTGAGATGACCATGGTCAACCATGGCTTGTCTGAGATGACCATGGTCAACCATGGCAATGTCTTATATGACCATGGTCTACCATGATTTTTGTTTGAGATGATCATGGTCTACCATGGTAAAATCTTCAATAGCCATGATCTACCATGGTTTCTGCTGACCATGGTATACCATGGTAAGAAATGAAAGTAACAAAGTTTAGCATGGTTTAGCATGGTATACCATGGTAATACTATGGCATTCCATGGTAAACCTTGGTGAACATTGTATACCATGGTGTGCATTTCAGCTAGGCATCACACTTTGTCCATCAAAGTGTTGCAAGGACTGAATCTAACTTAAAAATAAAACTAGTTTGCTATGGCTCGTGATGAAACAAATAGGCAATCTGTAAACAAAAATGATTCCTTTTTATATACTTAATGATAATTTTCTAGATGATCTTTTGTTAAAATTGATGATCAAAGAAGAATAGGCAGCATAGATGCAGTCTAGACAACTCTTTTTAAACACTTAATATATTTAAGAGCTTTATTGCAATGAACCATGCTATGAATTGTAGTTATCTGTTACTTAAGTAAAAAATGTTATCTCGTAAGAAAATTAAATAATCTTTAACCTTTGGTTTGAAGATAACTTTTTGGGCCAAGACTTTCAACTGTTGCTTAATGGAAATGTTTTTACAATTACATCTCTGTTTATGCTGATATGATGATGAAAAAAGAGATAAGTTTTAATGTTTTATGTGGATAGATATTTATAAATTATTATCTTTGCATTTTTAATATGTACAATGTTTTATAGGTGGTCAGATGCTTTCTGAGTTCTAACTTGTTTATTATTTATCATGTCACGACGTCATAGATAAGATTAAGTATGGTGCAGGTTTTTTACAGTCAGTTGGCTTGTGGTGGCTGAGCTGTGACTAGGTGAAATACAGATACATCGTTATTTTAGTAGTTTATTAATTGAAGGTGCAGATCACGCGAAGTGTTTTCTGAGATTTAAGATTGTTTTCAGGGCAGTGGTTATTCCTCTCTTGGCTGACTGTGATGGAGGATGGGTGGTTGAAATATCACATTCAATACTCTGACCCAATCTAGATAGATGCTCAAGCTGTGTTTAGCCATGAGTTTGTTCATGGATTCACATGGATTAATTCTCAGGCAGAATATTGTAAATTATTACTCAATATTGACTCTTATCCTTTGTGTAATCTGTTGTGTTAAGGGCATTCACTTCAGAAAGTCAGCAACTGGTTGGCCTTGTAATCCTGATGCAGCAATATTATTCTCCATGGGGAATGGGTGGTTCTGTGATCTCAGGGCACCACATTTGGCTGTAAAGTGTTGCCTCCCATAGATGAGCCAGGATCCACTGAACATGGGTTCTGATACCAGAACTCTGTAGTCTAGTGGATAGAGCATCTGCCTTGACACTGGAAGGCTGGTGGTTCAAACCTGGCAGTTGGAAACCAAAAGACGTCAGGAGATGGTAGTTGTTGTTACCCTGCCTGGTGCTCGGCAGTAAAGGGATAAAAACAAGGACTGGTCAGCTCAGAGTCAGTATACTGTATCTGAGTGGGGTATGTTTTCTCAGTGGGCTAGTACTATGTGACCGGCAATACTCCAGACTAGTTGAGCAACATTCACTTGGACAGTTTGGATGTTTACGCACTCATTCACTCATTCATATAGTGGAATAAAATCTCATAAAAATTCCATATTGACATTATGCCTGTCTCTTGTTCGTTGTTACAGCTTGGACATTAGATGGGATATTATGGTCATGCTGATGACTAACTAGTCCTATCCTGATGTGACTTGTCACAGGGCTGAGCCACGAGAGTTGTGGCATTCAGACAAAAAGGGGGAATCGGCCTGCTTTTGTTGCTGGAAATAGCCCAGTTACTTACATACCCTCAAAGCATTGGGCCAAAGAAGTGAAGAATATTGCTGGAATATTGCTAAAAGCGGCGTAAAATCAAACTCACTCACTCACTCACTCACTAGACATCCTTTGTGATTAGGTTAAGACTTTTCAACCAACCCTCTTTGTTATGAAAACTTTGTTTGTTTGTTTGTTTGTTGTTTAACGCCAAACTCAGGATTATTCCAGCCATATGACGGTGGTCTGTAAATAATCGATTCCGGACCAGACAATCCAGTGACTGAAATCATGAGCATCGATCGACACAAATAGGATACAGTGACATGTATCAGTGAGCCTGACCAACCGATCCCATTAGTCACCTTTTACGACAAGCATAGTCGCCTTTTACAGAAAGTATGGGTTGCTGAAGACCTATTCAACCACCAATCTTCCCGGTTATGTTATTATAACTGTTCATGTGTGTTTATTAATGACAAGTACATGTTTGGTATTCTGATATTTGGAATTCTCAGTTTTTGTGTAAAAAGTATGGTGAATTAAACACAAATGTTTGAGAGGTCACTACAGATAGTTGTCCTGTCATTATATCATGATAGAAATATACAGGATTTGTAACAGCAACAGCACTGCATACAACACATGATCCCCACTCTCCCCATCAACTAAATCTAGAAACAGTATGGCACGGTGAAGTTGTGAATTGAAAATGAGAGTGTAGGCGGTGAGTTGGAAGCATTTCGGTTGTATGTATTCTTGGAATGTCGTGATTCATGAATACCATGGTATGTGGGCATTACTATGATGCTATTTTCAGAAAATACATTGTTCTTTTCATATCCGAATGCAGTGTCAGGTCCAGTAATTGATTGCTGCCACCTTCGTGGCAAGCCTAGTGTAGCCAATGTTGGGTAATTTCATTTCCCGGCAGAGACAGGTAAGTATGTATGATCCTGATGGACAGACAGGCAGGAGTGATGTTTAGCTATGGATTATATCACATTTGTGTCAGTCATTTGAAAAAAAGCAATTTGTCTGTTCTATCCTATGTATATTTCTCAATTTGTTCTTCTAGGAGTTTTGGGGGCGGTCGGGTAGCCTAGTGGTTAAAGTGTTAGCTCGTCACGCGGAAGACCCAGGTTCGATTCCCGACATGGGTACAATGTGTGAAGCCCATTTCTGGTGTTCCCCGCCGTGATATTGCTGGAATATTGCTAAAAGCGGCGTAAAACCATACTCACTCACTCACTGTAGGAGTTTTGGTTAGATGAAGTTAAAGTTAATAATGTTTTGATTGAGTCACTGGTCATATGAAATGTTTTCAGCAATAGATATGTGATACAGTGTAACCTTTGTAATCTTAGTACAATGTAGTCGAGCTCTTAGTGATGTGTCAGCTTTCATTTGTCTAAGTAAATATTGATGTTGTATTTTGTATATACTACTCAAATGAAGTTCAGTTACACCTAGGTTTTTCATGTGGCTGTGGTAAATCTGTCATGGCCATAGATTAACTTTAGTCACATGGATAAATTGGGTGTTCTTTATCTTATTTTGAAGGATCGTATATATTATAGGTCATTACTGTTTCTTCATCTATAATCCTGTGGTCTAGTGGTAGAACGTCCATCCGGAGAGCGGAAGGTCCGGGGTTCGATCCCCGGCCACGTCATACCAAAAAACGTTAAAATATGGTACTTGTTGTTACCCTGTCTGGCGCTCGGCATTAAGGGGCTAAAACAAGGACTGGTCGGCTTGGAGTCAGTATACTGTGTCTGAGTGGGGTATTCATGTTAAACTGCGGCATGGTATCTCAGTGGGCTAGCTCTATAAATCGTCATCAGTCCGAACTAGTACAAGCAGCCACACACATGCATGCATGTCGCTATTTAAGTGCAATAATCTTGGAAGTCATGTTAAACCCAATTTCATCTCATCTCATCTATAATCCCACGAGGTCTTCCAAATCAATGGTTATTGTTGTTGATTGAATTAAGCTGACCCAGATTTGATTATTTACGGCCAGCTGTGACATGGCAGGACTATTGCTGAATATGACATTCACTTACTCACTCACTCATTGTTATAATCCATGCCATAACATTGCTTCCTATTCTTATTATCATTCCATGAACTATCCAGATAAAGTGGGTGTAAAATTTAAGAAATTTGTTTTCTACATTGCCTGCTTCTATCTCATTGCAGTGTACATTTCCTTTTTTAAGAAATTGATAAAATCTATTTAATTTCTACTTTGACAAATGAATATTCTTTCAAAGACAAATTCTGATATTTTAATCCAAATTTAAGATAAGACAGTTACTAACATAAATAAACAAAAAACATTTGATTATTTTCGGCATGTTTTGTAAGTCCCACTATCATATCAGGGAGGCAGTGAGTGGTGGGAGTCACGTGCTTGATGACATGTGTAAGTGTCATGTACAGGTCTCCATCTGTTTTTGAAAAACTGGAATCAAAGTAACCGATAATAAGCTCTTTCTTGTTCCAACATTACACTCCTTCCTGCTTGTTATTGCTACATTGTTCTTGGGTTTACATTACTGAAATCTACCCTCTCTCATGTCCACGTTATTTTAAGGAAACAAACATTGCTCTCAACAAGAGCACAATACTGTAAGTTAGAAACCGTGGCAACTCCCTGTCTGCTGATATGGATACCAGACTGAAATCATTCATTCAGCATTCTTCACAAAGATACAGACAGGGTTTAGTCGTACATTGCGAAATGAACATTATTGTTTGGCAGCATTATGTGTGGGTGGTTGGAGCTGAAAAACTTGTATAGAATTCCTGCTAGGGTAATTTGTCATAGAAATTACACG